GTGTGTGTGTGTGTGTGTGTGTGTGTGTGTGTGTGTGTGTGGCAGCCTCGTCCATGTTTACTGTAAATGGGAGTCTTTTGTTGTGTCTGTTTAAACAGTCTTCCTCATTTTAATCAACATGAAGTATGCTAGAAACCTGATGCAAACCTATCCATTGTTCTTAGAAGACCTGTGTCACACACAAAAGTACACAAACACATCTATACACACACTTTCATTGTTTATCTGTCTTATGTTTCTGGCAATGTCTATTAAAATTAGTAAAAAGGAAAAAATGTCCATGTTTACTTATCAACAAGCTGTTTACCTTGACTTGTACACCGGTTAGGGTTTATCTTCAGATGCACCGCATGATGCCAACGCCTCTGCACCTTAGGCTCAGGGCCAGCAGCCAGGATGAGTAAGCCCTGGCATGACTACGATGGCAGGAATACATCGAGACACAGAGAACACCATAAATGCGGTGCTACCAGTGCGCTCGTGTGACGGCACAGACAAGTGGGCGGGAGCTCGGCGGGCCACGCTCAGAACTGTCAGAGAGAGAGAGAGAGATGAAGCTCCCAGGTGGTACTTCAAGCAGCCGCCCGACAAGGCCCGAAGGCTTCTGGGTGGGGTTTGTTCTCTGGTTGTGCAGCTGTATTGGTATGTCACCTGAACTTCCCTGACCCTGAAAAGGTTCCCTCCTTCGTATCCTAGTTCCCTCTAAGAACTGACAGTCACACACAGGAGCAGGAGCGTGTTTCGTTATTAAGGTCAACCGCAGAAAACTCCGACGGTGGAAAAGAAAAGGTTCAGTCGATCTGTAAATCTGTCTGCCCGCAAGTCTACAAGCCCGAGTCAAATGGAGTAATATACGACTTGTGAGGCTCTGACAAACATTCTGACAGGCGTATTATGGAAAATCATCCACCGGGCGCTTGGCTCAGACACAGACAACAACTCGACTGGAGGTTTTTACCACGCAAATGGTCACTGATGGTATTTATTTCATGTTATCAGGTGAAAGACATTGTTTATTCATCAAACCAGTCAACTTTGGTCAATTAGCAACATTTTTTTTCCGAGAAAGCACGTTGGACAACAAAAGTTTTATGGTCTGTACGAAATAAATAGCAACGTTGCTCATTTACAGCTTGGCTGAAACAAAACAAAACAACAACAAAAAAGGGTTAATCTTCATATTAAAAATGGTATACAGATGAGTTGCGTCACTAACTGCTCAACAAAAACAAACAAACAAAAAATGCTCTCCTTTTTTAAATAAAGCTTTTCACTTTTAATATGTACCTTCAAGAGCCTGTTATAGTTAAATAAATAGAATGCTTTCCGTTTTTTTTAACATGCACATCCAATTAGCCTGGGGAAGTATTTACAGTTCACTGATCCTACTCATCCACCTAATTCTGCACATTTTTTTTCTTTTTCTTTTTCTTCTCTCCTCTAAAACATTTCTCGCTGGTCGCAAACGCTCATACATACACAAATGTACAGTCACTCCTGCAGACATGCTGCGCCTATTTACTATTAACACAATATCTAAAATCTATGGCAAGTGATCAAAATGCTAACAGTGAACATGGAAGTCCATGTAGTGTGAAGAAGAAACAGTCCAAACACCACATCTTAATCAGGGGGCGAGGAGGGGGG